AAAAAAAAAAAAAAATACTGTTATCCATTACTGGCAGCATTTAACTTTTCAGGACTCACTTGGACCTTCTTCTACTGCAACTAGGACACTGATTACAATAACATATATTTACTTTTTGTTTTTGTAGGTGTGGCACAATTATAGCTTTGACAATCATGTCATAGAGAACTATGGGTTGAAAGTTTCTGGTTTCTATGCTGACACAATGCACATGGCTCGGTTGTGGAACTCATCTAGGCGAATGGAGGGAGGTTACTCTTTGGAAGCACTAACAGGTGATCGTACAGTCATGAAGGATGCCAAGAGTGGGCATGACCTAATGGATGTTGGGAAAGTATCAGTGAAGACCATCTTTGGCAAGAAAAAAATGAAAAAGGATGGTTCAGAGGGAAAATTGGTCACCATTCCTCCCGTTGAGGAGCTCCAACGAACCGAGAGAAAACTTTGGATTTGTTATTCAGCTTTGGACTCAATTAGCACTTTGAGGCTATATGAAAGTTTGGAGAAAAAACTGATGAGAGAGCCCTGGTCTGTGGACGGTAAGTACAAGGGGTCGATGTTTCAGAACTACCAGAGATATTTACTTCCCTTTGGTGAGCTTCTCGTGAAAATGGAGACAGAGGGGATGCTGGTCAACCGCCTGTACCTTGCTGAGATTGAGAAAGTGGCTAAGGCAGAGCAACAGATTGCGGCCGATAGGTTTCGAAAGTGGGCGTCAAAGTATTGTCCTGATGCAAAGTACATGAACGTGGGGAGTGATACACAGTTGCGCCAATTTCTCTTTAGTGGTATACAGAACAGGTAGGGATGAAGTTATTTTATATTATTATGTCATGCACTATTTATTGATTTATTATTTTTTGTTGTTGTGGGAAATGGTATGGCTTTTGTGTTTTATGTTCTTTTGTTTTCTTTTTATCTTTACATTTTAATTTGGTCAAAGGCATAACTGATATATAACTATAAAAGCATAGGAGCTAAAAGTTGAAGTGTCGATGCTGAACACAAATGAGACCTATGACATCCTACCATTGCCAGTTTTAGCTAGCTCAGGTGGATGATATGTTTTTTGATAAATAACTAAGAAGAATCTCTAAATTGGGATTTGCAGTTGGAAAATTTGTCTTGGTAATTAAAACAGTTGAAAACTGAAAGGTCACTCTCTTTTGGAACTAAGACATACTACTTCATTTACATCCAATGGTAATGCATGTTTGCACTTGCTCATTCAAGGAACTGAAATTAGCAATACTTTTTTATCGTTTCATTTGCTTATACATTTATTATCATATTTTCTCTGCAGGAAGGATCCAAATGAGTTTCTTGATGAGAAGGAGGTCAAGGTTCCCAATGTAGATAACATAATTGAAGAAGGAAAGGAGAGTCCTACAAAATATCATAAAATAGTATTGCGTAAGCCCGATTTTGTCAATATCAACCCTGACAAGTACACTGCGAGTGGTTGGCCATCTGTTAGTGGAGATGTTTTAAGGAGTCTTGCCGGTAAGGTTTCTGCTGACTTTGACTTCCTCGATGAAGAGAACGACGAAGAACAGCCTGAAAATATGTCCACAAAAGATTCCGAATGCCACCAAGCAAATCCAATCTCAGAAATTGACACCTCTGCTTGTGGAGAAGCTTACTCTGCTTTTGGTGGTGGGCAGGCAGGAATCGAGGCTTGCCATGCATTTGCTGCTTTGTGTGAAAGTTGTGCTATAGATTCTCTCTTATCCAACTTTATAATCCCTCTACAGGTATTACGCCCTCGATAGCTTTGGTGTAAAATTGTGACCTTCAATTTCCTATGTTTGTACCGATGTAAAAATGGTTTGATAAATTTTACAATGATTAATATGACTATTTATCTTCTCATCTGCTTTCAATTTAGAGCATCCCCCCTTAGTCTTTGTCTGGACTCTGGAGTTCGTAAATTCTTGTCCGCAGAATGAGTAATTATATTATTTAAAAGCAAGAGTTGATGATAATCTCTTGCTCTTTTTTTTTTTTTCCATTGTTTAACTTAGGGGAACCATATATCTGGCAAGACAGGGAGAATCCATTGCTCCATAAATCTTAACACAGAAACTGGGCGGTTATCTGCAAGAAGACCTAATTTGCAGGTTTATCCAATGACCTATTTTTCATTGTCCTATTTACGCAATTACTGTTAGCGAAAGACTGCTGTGCTCCAGATAAATCCTCGCTTTGAATCCTAATTTTGGTTCCTTAGGGTGTTTCTCAAGGGTTTGTATCTTTTAGAAAGATGTTATATTTTGCTTGATATGTCAAGACGTTGCCCATACATTTCTCTTTAAAACAATTTGTTTCAGAGCACTAATAGATTGTGTTTCGGAAATACAGAACCAGCCTGCATTGGAGAAGGATCGGTACAAGATACGAAAGGCATTTGTTGCTGCACCTGGCAACTCCCTCATAGTTGCTGATTATGGACAGGTAAAATTAGCTGAGACCTTCCAAAACATGCATTTATTTTTGTTTTAGGATTAATAACAGAAACACCATTGAGGTTTAATACTATCTACAAAATACATAATTATAGATATTTCCTTGATGTTTTGATCTATTTTGAAAAGTGCCCCTCGATTCAGGATACTTGATAAGAAAATGGAAAATTAGAGAGGTCTTTTTGTAGTTAGGTCGGTCAAATCAGGATTAATTTTTGTAGTAATTATAATTTTTGGCGATGTTTGTTGATGAAGTGCATTTTGTTGTCAGTTGGAACTAAGGATTCTTGCTCATCTGGCCGAATGTGAGAGCATGTTGGATGCTTTTAAAGCTGGTGGAGATTTCCACTCAAGGACTGCTATGAATATGTATCCACACATTCGTGCTGCTGTTGAACAAAAGGAAGTTCTTCTCGAGTGGCATACTCAATCTGGTGAAGATAAGCCTCCAGTGCCTTTGCTAAAGGTTTGCCTAAGAGCTCCCCTTTTTGAAAGTTAATATGAAAGGTAGCTTTAGTTTAGTCTAATTTATCAAGAAACCTTAGATGTCTTTAAATTACAAAAGCCACCATTTTGTTTGTAGATAAAATTTATAATATGCGATATTGAAGGTGATGTTCACCATAAGAGTTGGACTTTTTTGTAATTAGGTCAAATCGAAGGGATAGTATTTGCAACTGCCCCTTCAGTGTATGATATTTCCACATTTGCAGGAGTTGCCATTATTTTTATTGTCATCTTTCTTAATCTAGATGTTAAAATGAGTTATAAGCTATTGGATTCGTCATACCACACAAGTAAATAAGAACATCTCGTTTTATGGATATGAACATGAATTTGAGGATTACCCAAACTTTACATCCTTTCTTCTAGCAACAAGTTGAATCCCTCCATCTAATTACAATTAACAAGTTGCACAAACTTCAATTGCCAAATCTACTATTATCGAGCTAATGAGGGTTACAGCAATATTACAACACTCGAATTCTGGCATCATTATCAAGTGCTTCTAACTTGAAAAAAATAAATCTTTTTGTTGATTTGGATAATTATTTAGGATACGTATGCTTCTGAAAGAAGGAAAGCAAAGATGCTCAACTTTTCAATTGCATACGGAAAAACTACCGTGGGACTTGCCCGTGACTGGAAGGTATGTTTTACTTTCATTGAGTTTTCAGTCAGTGTTAACTGATTTCAGACAATGCATGTGCGATATCTGTGCTATTATAGGTTTCCCGTGAAGAAGCTCAAGAGACAGTTGACCTCTGGTACAGTGACAGACAAGAAGTCCTGAAGTGGCAGGATGACAGGAAGAAACAAGCGCATAAGTACAAACATGTCTACACATTGCTAGGTAGGGCATGCCACTTCCCATTACTAAAGAACGCCAGCTCAGCGCATAGACATCACATCGAACGTGCTGCCATCAATATCCCAGTGCAGGTCCTTTTCGTGCCATCCCTTAACCATCTTTTGCTATTCCGTTTTCCATGATTTTATTATTGGGCATGTGTGTTTGCTAATGCATTTTCAATTAAATGGTGCAGGGTAGTGCTGCAGATGTCGTTATGTGTGCCATGTTGGAGATATCGAGGAATGAACGTTTGAAGGAGTTGGGCTGGAGGCTCTTATTACAGGTCAAGACTTAGCTTCTCTCCCTTTTTCACCTAACCCAAACACTTCATACTTGATAGGAAAACAACAGAAAACAGAAGAAAGAAAGAAAATGTTAGCACAAAATTCATCTAACCTCGATTGTGCCTCTTTTGTGCATAATCAGTCTGGTTTTTTTTTTTTTTTTTTTTTTTTTTTTTTTTTTTTTTTTTTTTTTTTTTTTTTTTTTTTTTTTTTTTTTTTTTTTTTTTTTTTTTTTTTTTTTTGTCTGTCTTAGAAAATTCATTAATATCCATTGGTTCTCTTGGGTTTCATCTCCAGCCTACCCCAACTTGCTTGGGACTAAAAGTCTATGTTGTTGTTAGAAAATTCATTAATATGAAAATAAGTTCTGTGGTTTTTGCCTTGTTGACAAAAAATCTTTAATTTGAAATTACAATCTGAACAGGTTCATGATGAAGTGATCCTAGAGGGCCCAACTGAGTCGGCAGAGGAGGCAAAGGCTATAGTGGTCCATTGCATGTCATATCCATTTGATGGAAAAAATATCTTAAGAGTCGATTTGTCGGTTGATGCCAAGTGTGCCCAAAACTGGTATGAAGCCAAGTAGGCGAGGACAGCTACTTCGTGTCCAAGTGCCTCACGCTGTTATGTCAGAGTATTATTCGGTCAATTGATTTCTCGATTAGAGGGTGGTTTTTGTATTTTTAGGTAATATACACATGTGGATGCCATTTGGAGACTGGTAAGCTAACTCGGGTGCTGTATGTTAAGGGATCCTTTGGAGTGTATATACAGTCCATGTGCCCAGAGAATGCTATAAATGTCAGCTTCAAAGTTTTTGCACATTTTTATGGTTAAATGATGATTGTAAGTGCTGCTATTCTGAAGGATCAGCAGATTATTTATTTTGAATATTCATATGTGATCTAGTGCCAATTTTGACTACTCAACCGCTTCTAATTTCTAATTACAACTTGTGAAGACAAACATTATCATTTTTTTTTTATATCAAAACTGATAAACGTTGATTACTTTGTTTAAACTCAAATATTGGTATCTTGGCAGACAACTCACTCTCCTACACAGAACACATTTCTGAGCAGCCAATTTGGCTACTCAACCACTTCTAAGTTGAATGAAAAAGGATCAGAATAATGGGGCAGCTTTAAAAGCTAATAATATCAATAGAAAAGATGTCTATGCAGCTACTTGCCAAAATTTTCCAGATTGATCTCCCAGGCTGAGGCCAGCTGAATTAGGAGTTGATTTGGAGGTGATCCATCCCAGCCCTCAGGAAGCTCGATGAGTGAAGACGCTTCGTGTAAATTAAGTAGAATATCCCGCTTTACTTTCGTTGGGATAACCAGCACATCAGGGTCATTTGCCATGACGATATCTGCTAGCTGAGAACAAGAAGCAAAACAATGTCAAGACATAGAGACATTAAACAAGCTAGATGGATGTTATGAAAGGAGAAGTGACCCTCCCCAAACCACTCGCATAAAGTGGTTACGAAGAAGCAGACACTTTACCTGCTGAATCCAGTACAAGAACATGTCATAAAAGTTGTGGTCCGTGATCAGCAACTGGGAAATAGCATTGAGAACCTCGTTAGCCACCTCGCCTGACAGTTGGTCCAAGACAGGTCCCGATCTGTCCATGAGCTTCATGAGCAAGACATCATCACAGGTGGAGAGAACCTCGGCAAAAGCAGTATCCATGTCCCCATTGTCAAATGCTTCCATTGCATTGCTCCAAGCAGTCCAAACCGGGTCCCGCTCCTGAACCCCATCATCATCATCTCGTAATGCCTCAGCTGTTCTCTCAGGAATATTAGCCACCCGCCGAGCAACCCGGCTGACTCCATTGTCCTCCCCAGCCACCCGAATAGCTTCCAAAGTGGCCTCATCTTTCGAAGCCTGCCACACGCACCTAGCCGAAGGCCCCTC